AACTAAAAATAACAACTCTAGCTCCTCCACAGGTCTCCAGCTCCATGACCCACAAACTAGAATACAATGCTCCACCCTGTATCTCCAGCTCCACACCCCTCTACGAGAAACACCAACAATGGCTCCTCCGTGGGTCTCCAGCTCCACGATCCTCAACTAGAAACAACAACAATGGCTCCATCGCGTGTCTCCAACTCCAAACCCTCAACCGGAAACACCAACGACAGGTCCTCCACGGGTCTCCAGCTCCACGACCCACAAACTAGAAAACAACGCTCCACCCTGTATCTCCAGCTCCACGACCCTCAAATAAAGACACCAACAGCGGCCATTCAACCATCGCCACCTCGATGACCCTCAACTAGAAACACCAACTCCAGCTCCTTCATGGGACTCCAGCTCCACGACCCTCAACTAGAAACACCAACTCCAGCTCCTCCACAGGTCTCCAGCTCCATGACCCACAAACTAGAATACAATGCTCCACCCTGTATCTCCAGCTCCACAACCCTCTACGAGAAACACCAACAACGGCTCCTCTGTGGGTCTCCAGCTCCACGATCCTCAACTAGAAACACCAACAATGGCTCCACCGCGTGTCTCCAACTCCAAACCCTCAACCGGAAACACCAACGACAGCTCCTCCACTGGTCTCCAGCTCCACGACCCACAAACTAGAAAACAATGCTCCACCCTGTATCTCCAGCTCTACGACCCTCAAACAAAGACACCAACAGTGGCCATTCCGCCATCGCCACCTCGATGACCCTCAACTAGAAACAGCAACTCCGGCTCCTTCATGGGACTCCAGCTCCACGACCCTCAACTAGAAATACCAACGACAGCTCCTCCACGGGTCTCCAGCTCCACGACCCACAAACTAGAAAACAACGCTCCACCCTCTATCTCCAGTTCCACGACCGTCAAAGACACCAACAGCGGCCATTCCGCCATCGCCACCTTGATGACCCTCAACTAGAAACACCAACTCCAGCTCCTTCATGGGACTCCAGCTCCACGACCCTCAACTAGAAACACCAACTCCAGCTCCTCCACAGGTCTCCAGCTCCACGACCCACAAACCAGAAAACAATGCTCCACCCTGTATCTATAGCCACAACCCTCAATGAGAAACACCACCACCGGCCCCTACACGGGTCTCCAGCTCCACGACCCACACACTAGAAAACAATGCTCCACCCTGTATCTTCAGCTCCACGACCCTCAAACAAAGACCCCCACAGCGGCTATTCTGCCATCGACACCTCGATGACCCTCAACTAGAAACACCAACTCCGGATCCTCCATGGGTCTCCAGCTCGACGACCCTCAACTAGAAACACCAACTCCAGCTCCTCCACAGGTCTCCAGCTCCACGACCGCAAAACAGAAAACAAAGCTCCACCCTGTATATCTAGCTCCACAATCCTCAATGAGAAACACCACCACCGGATCCTCTGCGGGTCTCCAGCTTGAACACCCACAAACTAGAAAACAACTCTCCACCCTGTATCTTCAGCTCCACAACCCTCAACAAGAAACACCAACAACGGCTCCTCCGCGGGTATCCCGCTCCAGGATCATCAACTAGAAACCCCAACAATGGCTCCTCTGCATGTCTCCAACTCCACGACCCTCAACCAGAAACACCATCGACGGCTCCTCCACGGGTCTCCAGGTCTGTGAACCACAAACTAGAAAACAACGCTCCACCCTGTATCTCCAGCTCCACGACCCTCAAAGAAAAACAGCAAGAGCGGCTGCTCCGCCGTCTCCACCTCGATGACCATCAATTAGAAACACCAACTCCAGTTCCTCCATGGGTCTCCAGCGTCAAGACCCTCAACTAGAAACACCAACTCCAGCTCCTCCACGGGTCTCCAGCTCCATGACCCACAAACTAGAAAACAACGCTCCACCCTGTATCTCCGAGCTCCATGACGTAAAACAAAAACACCAACAGCGGCTACTCGCCGTGTACATCCGATGACTCCCAACAGAAACACCAACTCAGCTCCTACATGGTCCGTCCACGACCACTTCAACTAGAAACACACTCACAGCCGCCTCCACTGGCCCAGCTCCATGACACAACAAACTAGAAACACAATGCTCCACCTGTATCTCCGCTCCACACCAGAAACAACCAACGCGTTCCGCAGATCTCCAGCTCCAATAACCCTCAACTACAAACACCAACATGGGCTCCTCCGCAGGTCTCCAGCTCCACGATCCTCAATTAGAAACAACAAAACCGGCTCTTCCGCGGGTCTCCAGCTCCGCGAACCACAAACTAGAAAACAAAGCATTGCCCTGTATCTCCAGCTCCACGACCCTCAACTAAAAACACCAACTCCAGCTCCTCCACAGGACTCCAGATACACGAACCACAAAGCAGAAAACAGCACACCACATTGTATCTCTAGCTCCACAGCCCTCAATGAGAAACACCACCACTGGCTCCTACACGGCTCTCCAGCTCCATGACCCACAAACTAGAAAACAATGCTCGACCCTGTATCTCCAGCTCCACAACCCTCTACGAGAAACACCAACAATGGTTCCTCCGCGGGTCTCCAGCTCCACGATCCTCAACTAGAAACAACAATAATGGCTCCACCGCATGTCTCCAACTCCAAATACTCAACTGGAAACACCAACGACAGCTCCTCCACAGATCTCCAGCTCCAAGACCCACAAACTAGAAAACAGCGCTCCACCCTGTATCTCCAGCTCCACAAACATCAACTAGAAACACCAACTGCATTCCTCCACGAGTCTCCAGCTCCAAAATGCTCAACTACAAACACCAAGATGGGCTCCTCCGCAGGTCTCCAGCTCCACGATCCTCAATTAGAAACAACAAAACCGGCTCCTCCGCGGGTCTCCAGCTCCGCAAACCACAAATTAGAAAACAACGTATCACCCTATATCTCCAGCTCCACAACAGTCTCCAAGAAACACCAACAATGGCTCCTCCACGGTCTCCAATTCCCCAAACCACAACTAGAAACACCAACACCGGCTCCTCCGCGGGTCTCTAGCAACACGACCCTCAACTACAAACACCAACACTGGCTCCTGGTGGGTCTCCAGCTCCATGACATTCAACTAGAAACACCAACAGCTTCTCCTCCGCAGGCCTCCAGCATCATGACCCTCAGAAAGAAACACTAACACTAGATCCTCCACGGGACTCCAGCTCCACAATTCTCAACTAGAAACACCAACACCGGCTCCTCCACGGGTCTCCAGCTACACGATCCTCAACGAGAAACACCAACAATGGTTCCTCCGCGTGTCTCCAACTCCAAACCCGCAACCAGAAACACCGACGACAGCTCCTTCACGGGTCTCCAGCTCCACGACCCACAAACAAGAAAACAACGCTCCATCCTGTATCTCCAGCTCCACGACCCACAAACAAAGACCCCCATAGCGGCTATTCCGCCACTGACACCTCGATGACCCTCAACTAGAAACAGCAACTCCAGCTCCTCCATGGGTCTCCAGCTCCACGACCCTCAACTAGAAACACCAACTCCAGCTCCTCCACGGGTCTCCAGCTCCATGACCCACAAACTAGAAAACAATGCTCCACCCTGTATCTCTAGCTCCACAATCCTCAACGAGAAACACCACCACTGGCTCCTACACGAGTCTCCAGCTCCACGACCCACAAACTAGAAAAGAACGCTCCACCCTGTATGTCCAGCTGCACAATCCTCAACGAGAAACACAACCACTGGCTCCTCTGCGGGTCTCCAGCTCGAACACCCACAAACTAGAAAACAACGCTCCACCCTGTATGTTCGGCTCCACAACCCTCAACGAGAAACACCAACAACGGCTCCTGTGCGGGTATCCAGCTCCACGATCATCAACTAGAAACACCAACAATGGCTCCTCCGCATGTCTCCAACTCCATGAAACTCAGCCAGAAACACCATCGACAGCTCCTCCACGGGTCTCCTGGTCCGTGACCCACAAACTAGAAAACAACGCTCCACCCTGTATCTCCAGCTCCACGACCCTCAAAGAAAAACACCAAGAGCGGCTGCTCCGCCGTCTCCACCTCGATGACCCTCAACTAGAAACACCAACTCCAGCTCCTCCACGGGTCTCCAGCTCCATGACCCACAAACTAGAAAACAACCCTCCACCCTGTATCTCCAGCTCCATGACTGTAAAACAAAAACACCAACAGCGGCTACTCCGCCGTTTCCATCTCGATGACCCTCAACTAGAAACACCAACTCCAGCTCCTCCATGGGTCTCCAGCTCCACGACCCTCAACAGGAAACACCAACTCCAGCTCCTCCACTGGTCTCCAGCTCCATGACCCACAAAATAGAAAACAACACTCCACCCTGTATCTCCAGCTCCACAAACATCAATTAGAAACACCAACCAAAGATCCTCCGCGAGTATCCAGCTCCAAAACCTTCAACTACAAACACCAACATGGGCTCCTCCGCAGGTCTCCAGCTCCACGATCCTCAATTAGAAACAACAAAACCGGCTCCTCCGCGAGTCTCCAG